TTACTTACCTGTGAAATGAGGGCACAGCAATACTTCTCTAAGTTACATCCAATGTTAAGGGGAAATTTTTTTTTTTTGTCAGCCAGTTTGTGCTTTATTGATGCTGTGATGCTTAGGCCTTGACCGCGTACTTCCGCAGTGGGTACAGCCGTTCCTGCCGCTGCTGCTTCTTGGTCTTCAGGTTCTCTTCGTGCTTGTTGAGCCGGCGGCGCATGGCTCGTGTTTTCTTGGGCCGAAGATCCAGGGGCTTGTACTTCTTGCCCTTGTAGAATTTCCTGAGGTTCTCTTTCTGAGTCTGGTTAATGACAGTGAGCACACGGGCAATGGATTTGCGAACAACTCGGATCTTGGAGAGCTTGGAAGCCGCGCCACCAGTCACTTTGGCGACGCGTAGCTGGGACAGCTCCACTTTCAGGTCGTCCAGCTGTTTCAGCAGCTCCTCCTTCTTCTTGCCACAAAGGTCTCGAGCCTTAATTTTGGCCATGGCTGAACAAACCACCGGAGCCGCCTCCTGCTGGGAGAGAGCAAGGGGAAATATTTTTATTTAGAAGTTGGAACAATCCAGAAAAGAACAAAGAATAATATAATGAATACCCACATTTCTACCATCAGAATTAGCCATTGTTAACGATTTATATATTTGTTTCCAGTCTTGTGTGTCTTTTGCTAACAAATACAACATTACAGGTAAAGCTGAGGGCCCCTTTCTGCCCCTTCCAGTTTTCTTCCTCCCCCCTCCCCCCGGCTTTCCATTCAGAGTTTGAAGTCTGTGTTGTACTTTTCCCTTTGTAATTTCCGACAAACACTTTCCAATGTGCTTTTTTATCCTGTATTCCACTGGACACGGAGGCCCAAGGCCACATGGCTGGATTCTGTGTTTTTCGTGTCTCCTAGAAGTACAGCCAAAGCAAATGGCTTGAGAATGTCCCAGAAGGAGTTAGATAAGGAAAAGGAAGCTTCTGCAGGGAGCAAACACTACCCTAGGCTGTCTAGATGCTCCTGTGGATTTGGGGTGTTCCTTCAGCTTCAGATGAAGTGTTCTGGAACCAAGAGGAAATTCCTGGGGATGTGAGGTCGGGCTTTGGCTGTTCAGTCCTATCTGTTCACATCCTGGTGGTTCCCACACCTGCTGCTGACATTTCTCAGCACTTCAGCATGTATTGGTAAGTGTCTCCAGCCCTCCCAGCGGCCTGTGAAGAGGAGGCTGGCCCCCAGTGCCCTGAGCTGAGCCCAGGTGGTGGGTGCAGGGACTCAGGCCCGCCCCAGGCCCACACGGGGAGCTCTTCCCCTTCTGTGGGCCCACTGTCTTCTGGCTGGGACAGCTCACCTGCCGCAGGCCTGAGGGTGGGGTGGCGCCTCCTTCCCAGGCAGCTGGCGGTCAGGCATGCCACTGTCTTATCTCCAGGCTGCACTTAAACTGCTCTCATATCAGCCCTAAGTGTAAGGAGCAGGGCATTTCTTAAGAGGTGATAGGAGAGCTCAGCAACTACTGAGCCCCCAGCACACCCTTGCCGGGGTCAGAAGATCCCTCTGGGCGTGGCGAATTAGGAGGACTGTGTGTCTGACTGGCTGCCACCTGACAGCCAGGCCTCAACCCCTGAGGCACCCACCACTTGTGACTTATGTTTGCTCAAATGCAGCCGGGGCCATATGACAGAGTGATGATACTTGGGATATGTCAGGTTATGTAATATGTATTATTAAAATTAATTTCAGCTGTTACTTTTCTTGAATACGGCTTTTTAATAGCTTTAAAATACAACAGGGATGAATTGGCAGAGCCGAGACTTTCAGGGCAGTAAAACTACTCTGATATCACAGTGGTGGATCCGTGTTATACATTTGTCCAAACCCATAGTATGTAACCAAGAGCGAGCCCTCGTGTAAACTGTGGGTTCATCCACTATGACAAATGCACCACTCTGGGGGGAGGTTGATCGTGGGGGAGGCTGTGCAAGTGGGGGCCGGGGACTATCTGGGAACTCGGCACTCTCCACTCAATGTGACTGTGAACCTAAAGCTGCTCAAAAAATAGTCTGTTAAATTAATTTTACCTGTTGCTGTTTTCTGTAAGGCAATTAGAACATTTTAAATGTGATTCACCTTATATTGGGGCTGTGATGGGGCTGTGTTAGGGACCGTGTCTATTCTTACAAAGCCGTGCAAACAGCATACACAAAGCAAAAGGTGGATGTTTCCAGCCAGGCTCTGAAGGCACCAGGGCATCTCCGTGGCAGCCTGTGGAAGGGCGGGGTATGTGGGAGGGAGGATTTCAGGCCCCCAATTTGAATTAGGGTAGCTCTGTTCTTACCTATTTTGGTTTACTTATTGGGACTCTGCCTGAAAGTAATTCACCGCTGTGAGGGAGCAAGAAAAGAGGTGTTGTTCCTAGTTTGTTCTTAAGGAGACTGCCGTTTGGAGCGGGGGCTGGGATGTGTAGCCTAGACTGGGGGTCCATCTCTGTAGTTCCCAGGGGCCATTGAACAAGACAAACCACACTGTTTTCAAAGGTAGGAGCAGGAAATGACGAATTGTTTTCTAATAGACTTTATTTTTTACAGCAGTTTTAGGTTCACAGAAAAATTGAGCCAAATGACGGATTTCCATAGAGCACCCCTTCCCCCAGCATCTCCTATTATCAATATCCTATACTAGAACGGTGTGTTTGTGACAACTGAGGAACCGACACTGACACCCATACTTTATGTTACAGTTCTGTACATTCTAGGTTTGGACAAATGTGTGACGATTGCGTTATTATAGTCTCATGCACAATAGTTTCACTGCCCTCAAAATCCCCTATGCTCTGCCTGTTCATCCCTCCTTCCCGTCTTTTTTTAAATTTTAAAAGTTGGAATAATTTTATATGTACAGGAAAGTTACAAACATAATACAGAGAATTCTTATATGTGCTTTACCCAGCTTCCCTAATGTTAGCATCTTCCATAACCAGGAACATTTGTCAAAATTAAGAAATTAACATTGGTACATGGCAATTCTTCGGACTCTAGACTGACTCTCACCAGTTTTTGTACTAAGGTTCTTTTTCTGTTTCTAGATCCAGTCCAGGATCCCACATTGTACTTAAGTGTCCTGTCTCTTCGTCTCCTCTGATCTGTATGAGTTTTCTAATTTGTTCTCCTTTCCACAGTTTTTTGTGTGTATGTGCATGTGTGTGCACACGTGTGTGGGAGGTTTAACACCCTTTGAAAATGCTCTTGGAATTCCACAGCTGTGACCAATTAAATGGGGTGTGTTTCTAGCATGGTGTGAGCGTTTTGCCACAGGTACCTTCTCTGCCCTCTTGTCTGGGTGTGTGTTCCTGCCACGTTGTTGTCTGCCCTTAGTCTCTGAAACTCTTTTCTCAGAGTCTCGCAGGGTGGGGACCACAGGTGCATCTTCTCAGTGGCTTAGATTTCTTTCCTTAACTATGGGTGAGGTTTGTTTTCAGAGTGCTTTCAGTAGAGGTGTCGGTCAACCTTCAGGTGTCCTGCCAGCAGCTCAGCCCATGACTGTGATGTTTGTGCACTCAGAGCATCCTCACATGTGTTTGCAGTTGCTGTGTGCCCACCTGGCTCTGGCTGAGGCACTGCTGTCAAGCTGGAGGACTTGGAAATGTCTGTTTGGGTGTGTTTCATGCCATTGCTTTTTAACGCCAGGCAGTTTCTACATGTTTTCTTCTGAGTACCTCAGAGCTCTGATGTTTCAGTGAGTTTAAGCAAAGGGCAGGAAAGGAAGCAAAGACTCAGTCAGAGTGCCTGCTCTGTGCTGGGTGCTGGGAATGAGCACTGGACACTGCACAGTGGGTCCCCTTCCCTGGTCCTTGCCCTACGGCAAGCTCACTGAGGGCAGCACCTTATTCTCTGCCCTATAGATGTACATAGATTAGAAAGTTCACCTGCTGCAGATCCACAGTGACTTGTCACGCCTCTGAATACATCTAAGCTCCTTACTGTGAACTTCATTGCCTCTCTGGCCTCCTCACCCCGTCTCCTTGACTTCAGCCCCTGCCATCTCCTTGACCTCTGCTCCTCCTATCGCCTTGACCTCAGCCCCTATTATCTCCTGGAACCCCAGGGCGCAGACTGCACTGGCCCTTTCATTCTTGGAGCATGCTTAGCTGCTATCCACTCCAGGGCCTTTGCTGACTGGTCTCCTGCCTGATACCCCAGTGTATGCATGGTGCTAATTGAGAGGCCACCTCGGGAGGCTACCCTGAGCACCCCCATCTACAAGTCGCTATAAGGGCACATGCTCACCCTGTGCTCTCCACCCTGTACCTACTGTGCTCACACCCACTCGCTCCCATCTCACCTCGACTGAGAGCTGTTGTTACCTCGTGCCATAGGTGAGAAACCGTGGCACTGACCCTGGGTGCCTCCCAGAGTCCTGCTGTCCCTTCATCCTGCTCTTCTGGAGGCCCGGCTCTCCATGAGAAGCCATCTTACCGATTTTGCTGATTCATGTGTGTGTGTTGATCTGCCTTTCTCACCATGTTACCACAATGTCATCTCCATGACATGGGGACTTTATGTTGTTGTTATTACGGTTGGTCATCTCCAGATTTGGTAGAATCTATTGGTGATGGGAGCTAATGTCGGAGCCTGGTGTGTGCCAGGCCTGGCATAGTGGTCTCCTCCTCACCAGAGACCACAGGCATTTTTCCTTCTGGTGTGGAATTATTTCAGGTACTATGGAATAGTCTTATAAGGTGACTGTCAGTTGAACACTGAGGTGGCTTCCGAATCTTTAGTCCCCTGTTTGATTATTTCAGTGGCACAGGGTGTGTAGAGGTCCTAGGCCCTCAGGCTGTCATCCTCCTTCTGGAGGGGCCTTAGTCGGCCCACGTCTCTGGGTTTGAAGCTGCTGGAGACCACCCACCTCTTCTGTGTTTGAGTCTAGGACAGAGCCCCAGGTGGGGAGCCGTGGCTTTGGCTTTTGGTCCCAGGTGTGCCTCGTAGGCTGGCCCCAGAGAGTAAACTCTTGTCTTTTCCACACAGGTCATCGACCCGGCCAGAGGTGGCCAGCATAGAGCCAGTGGGCCCAGACGAGCGGCAGTGCTCCCAGAAGGCGGTGGTGCAGGCCCGCCTGTCCCAGCCCGCCCGCCTGACGAGCATCATCTTTGCAGAGGACATCAGTAAGGGTTTCGAGTGCCCTGTGTGGTCCCCGGGGAACGAAATGGGAAACACCCCATTGAGATGCTGCCAGAGCCCCTGGCAGCGGTCTCTTTCTCTTGCTGGGCCAGAGGATGTGGGGGAGGGGGAGGGGGAGGGCACTGAGCAGGCAGCACTCACCCTGGTCCCTCCTTGAGCACTTCCTACTGCTTTCCCTCTCATGCAGGCTGGCTTCCATTCTGAAATTATTATTTGTTACCCAAATAACTCTTAATGTGTATTGAGTCAAAAGGAAGAAAGCTGTTGAAATCCTTTCATTTCCCTATAGTTAATTTCCCATATTATGGTGGTAAAATGCTTAGAAAACAATTAATGTAATTTTCTATCATGCTTTTCTCCCACCTAACATGATATGAAAAGTTTTCAATCTCATTATAGAATTACTTTTAATGGCTGAATAATATTCTTAATAGGACTTTTAGATTGTTTTCAGACGTTTGTTTCAGTGCTATATAGAAAAATAAATATTTTTGTACAGAAAACAGTTTGGGGTTCTTTTAGGTTATTTCCAGCCAAGGGTAGATTCCTAGTTTTACTGGGTCATGAAGCATGTGAATATTTTTAAGGCTTTTGATAAATGGGGCTGTATTGCTTTCTAACAGCTATCATTAACAGTACACAAGTAGTCTTGTGTGGTGCCTGGAGAATGTTCAGAGTGATTTGCTGGTACATGCTGTTACTTTTACACTGTAGAATTATCCAGGTAATGCTGTTTACCTGTCTCATTTATGGAGCAAGTAAAACAATCTGTGTGCAGGTGCCACACCCCTTTCTCCTGTGGTACAGTGGATAGTCTTCTGTGAGAACACCAGTGCAGATAAACAGATACCACCAGGTGGAATTTCTGATCTCAGGGCAGGAACAGGCACTGTCCTTGTTGGATGCTGACTCGCTGCACTATAGCCCTTGTCGTTTAACGTAATGGCTGCACCCTGAACAAAATTAGATTTTCTTAGATGAATTTTCTGCACACAGCGTTAAATGCTGGTGCTCGCGTTGTAACAGCACACGGTGGGCGATGAATGTGCCGGCCAAGCTCTTACTTGCTGCAAGTTCATGCCTCCTTTCGAAGGGTGAGTGTGGTCAGCTGCTTGCTGTTGGGGGCTTAGTTTGGACCTTCCAGCCCTGTTTCGTGGTGATTGTTTTGTTGGCTGTTCTAGTCTTTGCCAAAGTGTAAGCCCACTTGACCTGCCAGGCCCTGAAAGCGTAGTGGTGATCAGGGCGCTGCCCTCTGCCTGACCCTTCTGTTCCCTTCTGTTCAGCCACAGGCCAGGTCCTGCGCTGTGATGCCATCGTCGACCTCATCCATGGCATTCAGATTGTGTCCACAACCCGTGAACTCTATCTGGAAGACTCGCCACTGGAGCTGAAGATCCAGGCTCTGGACTCTGAAGGTGAGGACACTCCCTGGTGGTCTCTGTTTCTCTCTGCCCTTGGGTCTGGCCCTGTTATTCCCCACAGAGGGCTGCTCCAGCCAGAAGGTGAAGTTGGTGTGGTGGGGAGGGGGGGTTTGAACAGCACCAGACCACCTCTGAGGTGGCCCTCAGGCCCTCAGGGGCAGTGAGGCCATCGCTGTCCCTGCTGTGCACTGGTCTCTACATCAGGCCTGTGAATTGAGAGCTTCTGTAGCCCCTGGAGGCTGACTCCATGCCTGTGCACATGGGTTATGCTTGCTAAAGAGGGTCTCTGGGAAGCGACATCGGAGTCTCTGGGCAGTGATAGGAAGCTGGGAGGGGCTCCTCGGTCACCATGCTGTAAACAGCAGGAGGCGTTCTCCTTGCCTGCCTTTGAGGGATGGTGTTGGCTTCCTGGTCCAGACTGCAGTGTGTGTGTGTTTTGTGTGTGTGTGTGAGGGGGTGGGGGTGAGGGGACGGGGTAGGGCAGAGGGCACTGGAACACGGCTAGGCTGCTGGTCCCTCCCATGCACCACCCTTCACTTCTTCACTTCACCAGAGTTGAATATCGGCTTATTTGGGGCTGAGACTCTTCTTAGAGGATGTATTCTAGCAGTAGAAAGACTGTTTGGCTATAGTCTGACCTCTTTGTAAAGTAACAGACGGAAAATGTATAGGTTAAGAATCTTGTTCTTTTCAAATTTAATTTAATTAATTGTTTTAAATTTATTTTTCCATTACAGTTGACTAACACTATTTAGTTTTAAACTAATACTATATTAGTTTCAGGTGTACAACATAATGTTTAGACATTTATATACCTTAAGAAGTGATCACCCAGAAAAGTCTAGTATGTAGGTTAAGATTCTTTTTGAAGGAACTAAGTCAGGCAAAAGATGCCTTTTAGATGAAGGATCCTCCAAAACTTCAAGTCTAAACCAAGTCTCACCTTGTCTTTGAAATCTTCCCTGACACAGTGGGAAGATTCCCCCTGACCCTCCACTTTAATAAACATTTCTGGATTGGGGTTTCTCAGCCTAGGTAGTATTGGCACTTGGTCCCAGATAATTCTTGGTGATAGAAGGCTGTCCAGCGCATCACAGGGTGTTGGGCAGCATCCCTGGCCTCTGCCCACTAGATGCCAGCTCAGCAGAACTCCCCAAGTTGTAACAACCAAAAATACCTGCAGCCATTGCCAGATGTGCCTTGGAGGGGGCAAAATCACTGTTTGGAGCATCGGTCCAGTCCTTCCTTCCTCTGTGTGTTCATTCATCAGATGAGCTGTCTAACTTCTCCATTTTCTGGGCTGTGAGACTGAGACAGTGATGCTCACTTAGGTTGAGAGGACTTGGTGAAAAGTGTGTAAAGGGCTTAGTGCTGTGTGGTGTGTAATGAGTGCTCTGTAAGCCAGGCAGCATCTGAGCTTCTTACCTGCTGGGCATTCTGCCAGGTTCTGGGGGTCCTGCAGAGGAAGGAAGGGCCTGGCCTCTGTCCCCAGAGTCTCAGGCTGTGGGGGAGGTCCAGCTGTAGGTGCCCATGTGCATCTCAGCAGGTGCTGTTCATAATGAAATTGGATGCAAAGTGTGAGGCAATCACAGAGTTGGGGAGCCAACCCCTGGGAATGTTGGAGGTTGGGTGTGGAGAACAGAGGTCAGGACGGTTTTTGAGATGATGTGATAGTTGACTGAGTCTTGAGGATGTGTGGTTTGCCAGGCAGGGAAGGCCATTTTATTTTTTAAGAGATTGAAGCTCAGATGGGTGGGATGCAATGTAAAAGGTCCTATGTGTCAGATATGGGATTTGTATGTTGGTCTTAGAGCAGATGGAGCTGAGGAAGGAGTTTGTGTAGTGAGGTGATAGGAACTTGTCTGCAGGACTCTTGGAGGGGGGTGGGGTCATTCTCCGTTCTTTGGAACAAAAGACCATAGTTGAGGCCACACAGGTGCCAGGTACTCCTCGGAACACTTGACATCTTCCAGTTCATTTCATGTCCAGGTGCCGAGACTGTAGCACAGAGTGGACACGCACATGCACACACACACACACACACACACGTACTAATTCACATGCACACACACCACATACTGACACCCACACCCACACCCACGCACGCACACATGTACATGTGCACACACATACATACACACATGCAGGCACACACATGCACACTCACACACATGCACATTTACACAAACACACACACATGTGCGTGCACACTCAGGCATGCACACACGTACACACACACACACACACACACACACGTAGTTAGTGTGTAGCAGAGCAGACTTGGAGCTCCAGCCTGTTTCCAGAGTTCAGTGTTGTGGCCAGGGGTTAGCAAACTCTGTGAACGGCACATAGTAAATGTTTTAGGCTTTGCTGTCCATACAGTCTCAGCAGTGCCACTGTCACTCTACAGTAGTCATAGATGATGCATAAGTGAGTGGGTGTGACTGTGCTGTAATAAAACTTCCCTTACAAAAAGTGGCAGTGGCCAGACAGATTTGGCCCAGGGGCTGTGGTTTGCCTACCCCTGCTCTTGACTACTCTTTTCTATTTCCTGTCTTAAGTCATTTTTTTCAAAGATTTGTTCATTTTTCTTGAGACTTGACATCATGAAATTCACCCATTTAAAGTGTCCGATTCACAGGTTTTTAATCTATTCACAAAGTTGAGCAAGATCACCACTAATTTGAGAACGTTGTCATCACTGTGAAGAAGAAAACCCTGTCCATCAATAGCCTCTGCCCATTCTTTGCTCTCTCTGCCCCTGGCAACTACTAACCTAACCTGCTATCAATGTATGTAGGCTTGCCTGTTGTGGACACTTCATACAGATAGACTTGTCTAGTATGTGGTCATTTGTGACTGGCTGTTACTGAGCATAATGTGTTCACGGTTCATCCATGTTGCAGTATGTGTCAGTACTTTGTTCCTTTTTATGGCTGAGTAACATTCCATTGTATGGGTGGACCACATTTTGTTTATCCATTCATCCGTCCATGGATATTTGGGTTGTTTCACCTTTGGCTACTATGAATAGTGCTGCTGTGAACATTCGTGTACAAGTTTTTGTGTGGACATAGGTTTGAGACATACCCAAGAAATGTCTCTTGGATATAGACCCAGGAGTGGAATTGCTGGGTCATAAGGCAGCTCTATGTTTAATTTTTTTGAAAAACCAGACTTTTTTCCCATTGCAGCTGCACCGTTTTACATTCTCAGCTGCAATGCATGAGAGTTCTTGTTTCTTCACATCCTCACCAATGCTTGTTATTGTTCATCTTTTTTGTTATACGTAAGTGATTTTTAAGTCACTTTTATTTTTCTCCTGGATGTGTGTTTTTTTCTCTCAAGCAGTTGGTGGCAATGTCAGGATCAGACCTTCCCATGCAGCTCAGCTGCCCAGAGCCTGGAAGCTCACCTTTCTTACTCCTAAGGCCCATGAGGCCAGTTCTAGAGTAGGAAGTCCAGGTTCACCAGCTGGAATACAAACACTGGGTCATTCCTTAATAGCCCAGATCATCTCCACCTTTGCAGTAAGCAAGTGGTTCACTCCCTCCCCTGGTCACTGTGAGGGTGTTACACTTTCTAGTTGGTCTTCCCTGCCCAGAAATACTTGGATTAGAACCTTAGTTACCCCTTCTTTCTTTCTCCTGACATTGTGCCCTCTTTACTGGTCACAATCTCCTTTGTGAAGATGAACTTGACCCTTGTAACTTTTGAGGACCTAGCAGTCTCAGAAAGGATATACTCGTATCTTGTCTAGACTGGCGGGTGTTGGTTAAACATGACTCTGCTCGTGGCTCAGGAAGCACTGTTAGGTGCACCTGGTGTGCATGCACTGTGCCCAGCCCCTTACAAGTGCAGTCTTTTACCCCCAGTGGGTAATGTCCATTGCACAGACAAGGAAGCTGAGGCCTAGAGAGCTTGAGTAACTTGCCAAAGGCCACACAGCTCATGGGTGGCAGAGCGGGGGCTGGCACTCAGTATATCTGTCTGTTGCCTAAGCTTTTGTCCACCAGGCCGCACTGCCTGTTTCCTGCTGTGGCATTTTTTTGTGGGTGTGGGGGTTCATGCACAGGGCTGGGCTCCACCTTTTTGAGGCCATGTGCAGGGTGCCTGCCTCAAGCTAACGATTCCAGCCAACACTTACTGCCCACATATACTGCGTGCATGGCAGAGCTGAGCTAGCTTGAGGGTCACCAAAGTGTCCCCTCCTGTCCTTTCCCCTGCCCCCTCTACTTGTGCTGCATGCTCTGCTCAGAGCACCCTCCACCTCCCGTCCCCCTCCCCCATCTCTGCTCACATGGTTCTGGTCCCTCTGCTCATTCCCTCTCAGACTAGTTGTTCCTCCAGTGACCTTGCCCTCACTGCCAAGGAGACGCCTGTCCCTCCCATCTGATATCCTGCAGCAGTTCACTGGGTGTGAGGCCCTCAATGTCGTCAGGTACAGCACCTGGAGGGCAGACAGGACTGACTTTATCCTTTTGGGCTTCTCTGTGTTGGACACTGGACTTTGAGCCCAGCGAGCATCCGGCAAATATTTGTTAAGGTGAATTGCTCAATGTTTTCCTGCTGCCCCCAGGACTAGGACAGGGGAGATACATCCTCCAGAGACTGGATCTGGGCTTTACTCCTGAGTATTAGCACTTGGCTGTGAGGCTTCAAGGTCACAGGCTCCGTCTGTAGGTGCTAATAGCTATATTTTGAAGGCGAAAAGCAAAACTTTAGGCAGAAGTTTCTTGAAACCATTTTCTCCCATCTTCCAACCCTGCAAGCTCCCGCTTAACATGTCAGTGTTGGAGCCTGTGTTTGGCTGAGATGTGCCCGCTTCACTTACCATGCATGCTGGGAAGTCACAGTGGGCGAGCCGGTGGTTTAATAGATGTCAGTCTCCCCTTCCTGCCCATAAGGCCAGCTTCACACAGGCCTCATGCTCAAAAGGGCCCCACAGGCTTGGTTTAATGCTTGACTACTGCCATCTTGAAAATTCTAATTCA